GCAACAATATATTTAATACTAAACACAGAGAGTTGATCTTAATTTATTATTGAGATGCCCATTGACTTCAGAAAAGATCTGTAGATGATTTATATTCATTTATTTTGCTGTAATATATATATACTATCTGCAATATGATATACATGATATATATATATGAATCTATATATAACATATAGGTTCAGTCTATTTTGCTACCATTGGTTTCACGCACACGCACACTGCGCGGCGATCATCAGGCAAATTTACTCATTATTCTAGACCTTGGTAAGTTTCAATATCCCTATGTTTCCCAAATTTGCGATATGCCGATAATAATTTGAATAAATGCCATTTATTACTTTGCATAGATTAAAGTTAAAATTATGGCTGTCATGTGTGGACATGTCACAATAAAATTGTCCCTGATAATCCAAGTCCAGTCATGTACATAAATTAATTTCACACCATGGTGCATTGCTATAAGGGTCCTTAAAAAAAGGAAAGCAATCCAAGTGGTGGAAATATGCCTAATTTGCATAAATTCAAAATGGCCACTAATTACATGATTTTTGATTTGGCCATAACTCTTGTCCGGCATTGCTTTTTGGAGTACTTTGATAAACAATTTGTCCTTTGACATTGATTTCATCATCATTCCAGTCCGAGGTACTGAGATCCTATGTTTCCAATGGGGTATAATATTTTTTGTTAAGGTTTCTAGCTCTTGTCAAAGTTGGTATAAGTGTTGGAAAATGTGATATCCCTGTGTCGCAGAGCAAACCCTTGCGCCGCTCTACTCGGACCAAAAATCAAGGAATAACTCAAGAGAACAGAGGATTCAACACAGGAGTTACAAATCACAAAAATCAAATTATATATTACGGGAAAGAAATAAACCAAAAAACCGCAAATCTCAATCCGAAAATACGTGGGCGAGGGTTTTATACCCCTCCCGCATGGGCGCAAGCCCGGAATTGGTATGCAACAAAGAAAAAAGGAATTACGATTTGCATAATTCACCTAGCAGCCACCTCCGAAGTTACATAACACTTTACGGCCGTAAAAAAATTATTAGTGATTGATGAATTAACTCAGAAAATAAAAGGAATAATGTTAACAGTCTTGTGACACCCTGTACATAAACACATTTCAGGGACAAAAAAAATCACTACTATAAATCCACTAGTACACTGCATAGGGATATCACATTTTGCAACGCGTATGCCAACTTTGAGATGAGCCAAAAACCGAACAAAAACTACCTTTCCCAATTTTTTGATACGTTGTAGCGAACATCTTGGGGTTTAATTTTCATCCAAGTTTGTCTCAATGTCGGGTGATCCACTAGGTCAAATTCAAGGTCAAAATGTCATTATACTTAAAATAACCCCGATATGAAAAACAACAATGGTAAATTTGGATTTCTCATGATGTAACCTTTCAAAAGAAATTAAGATTAACACATTTGGCTCACAGATTATAGAAATATGGTCATTTGAAAATGGCAGCAATGTCCATTTTGATCAAAATTGCCTGGGCGGTAGCGCGAAAACTGTTTGTCCGATGGTGCTAAAACTTAAAATTGCGGCTTTTCAGCCGAAATTACCCCATAAACTAAATATGATCCAATTTGAAGAGGTTGGGGTTTCAAATTTAAAAGTTTTGGGGGGTGATTCGACACTGAATGGCCCCAATGTCAAATGACAAAATGTTGTTTAAAGTACCCCGAAAAGCAACTTAGGACGAGAGTTATTACTAGATAGCATATTATGTCATATTTTTGGCCACTGCATGTTTCTTTGCTAAAGAAGGAATTTTTCTCATAATTATTTGAATAGACTTTACCTTCCTAAGCTGGAAATCCATAGGTAACATTTTTTTCTATCTACCATGTGGCGGTCATCTTGGAATTCAAAATGGCCGCCATTTAGGGCCTAATTTGTATCTAACTTCGGACCTGATTGTCATATGAAGTTTAGTTTGGTGGCAAACCCCATGTTTTTGATACCAAGGAACCCACGAAAATCATTGTTGATGGGGTATACTCCCAGTGGAGTACCCCATCAACAATGATTAACTTGGGTTCCTTGGTATCAAGAACATGCAGTTTGCCACCAAAATGGACTTCATGCGACATTCAGGTGCCACCTTATTATTTAAATGAAATCAAAGATGGCCGCTATTTTTGAATATCCAATATGGCTGCCATCCATTTGGGATGCCTAAATGTGCTAATTGGATTCCTTGGTATCAAATTTATGGGTTTTGCCACCACCAATAGTGACTTCATACGACATTGAAGTCCAAATTTATTATGCAAATAGTTCAGAATGGCGGCAATTATGAAATATCAAAGATGGCTGCCATCAACTGTAAGTACCCCGTCCACAGTGATTTACTTGAGTTCATTCAAATACATGGACTTCATAGGACATTCAGGTGCAATGTTATTATAAATAAGATCCAAGATGGCGGCTATTTTGAAAAAAAAATCCAAGATGGCTGCCATCCATCTGGGATAGATCATTAGCAATGGGTCATTAAGATTACTTGGTATCAAATGTATGGGGTTTGCCACCGAAATTGACTTCGTACGCCGTTCGAGTCCAAATTTATTATGCAAATAAGCCGAAAATGGCAGCCATATATTTGAAATATCCAAGATGGCTGCCATCCATTTGGAGTACACCATAAACAATAATGTACTCAGGTTCCTTGGTATCAAAAACATGGGGTTTGCCATCAAAATAAATTTCATGTGACAATCAAGTCCAAAGTTATGATACAAATTAGGCTCGAAATGGCGGCCATTTTGAAATCCAAGATGGCCGCCACACGGTAGCTGGGAAAAAATGTCGCCAATGCATTTCCGGGTTAGGGAGGTAAACTCTTTCCAAATATGGCAAAAATTACTTCTTAAACAAAAAAAAAAGCAAAAGTACATAACGGCCTATATACTATTATGGCCGCGCCAAATCATATGAAAATCATGTCATTAGCGGCCTTTTGAATTTATGCAAATTAGGCATATATCCACCACTTGGATTTTTAAACAACTTTTTTAGGGACCTTATAGCAATGCACTGTGGTGTGAAATTTGACTTGGATTATCAGGGAACACTCAATTGGTACATGTCCACACATGGCATCCATTAATTTAACTTTAATTAGGCAATTTGATATACGGCATTTATGCAAATTAAACGGCATTTGGAAAATTTCGGAAACATAGGGACCTAGGACTTAAATAATGAGTAAATCAATGTAAAAGGACTAAAACTGTTGTTTAAAGTACCTCTAAAATCCACCTAGTATGAGAAATATGACCAAATCAATGCGAAAGTCCTAACATATGCGGCCATTTTGGATTTATGCAAATTAGGCACATTTCCACCACCTCAATTTTTTAAGACTTTTAGTATGTTATTTTAGGGACCTTGTAGAAATGCACTGTGGTGAAAAAAATTCTGTTGCAATTTGTTTGAGGTCAAACCTTATATTGCCTGTACTATAGGGGAATATACCGTTACATGTGCAGTAAACACTTTAAACCCAGTTAAGAAAATAATTTACATTTTGATATTATGTATTGCTTGGGCGGCTCCAAATCTGATTCATATTCAATAGCCTAGATACATTTGTAGGAGTCACTATTTCATTTGGAATTGAATCCAAATTTCTATCCATCTACATGTATTGTAAACCACCATGAGGAAAGACCTCCATAATTTCAGTAGTCAATACAGTGTCATTAAAAAGATATAATGCCTGCACTTGTATCTTACATTGTACTCATTTTTATGTACATTTTTACAAGTGTTGAAAAGCTATTTGTCACAAATTATATGGACACATGGCGAATGACCAAAAAAAATTGTTTCGAAGTGTCTTGAATCTATTCATGGGAGAATTGAACTACATTACTACTGGGAATCAATTCCACAAAAAAAGTGGAATCACGAATCCAATTCCAAATTTGGAATCGATTCTATTCGATTCTGACCAGGAATCGCTCAAGCCAACTTGATATAAAATTCATGATATAGTGCAGGACAGTAAAGTCAAATGTTCTATCTCATACCCCGGAGAGAAATAAATTGAGCTGAGGGTTTAAAACCACATTTGGACCTCCTGGTCTTCCAAGTTGAAGTGCACATCGCCATAATATTTTTTTTTCCAAAAAAGAAAGATTTGGATGCAATTGTAAAGTTGAATACGGGTGTTCTTTAACAACAAATTTTGTGTAGGGGCAGAATGTTTGGTTTTTGATACAATACAAGAAATTGTTAGCATTATGAAATCCTCCCACTTATTTCCGTTGTTTTCCCCCGAAATAAATTATTAAAGTTTCCCACGGTGCACGCTCTTTGTAAGGGTCAAACAAGTGAATCAGAGCAAAAAGGACTTGTTTTTTAAATCAAATTGTGTTTACTGAACACAAAATGCTGGACGCATGCACACATGCACCGAATGGGCCTGTACATTGTGGATTGGTCTGCATGTGTGTGTGTACATGTATACATTTGTACATGTACCAGTATTTGCCGAGATTAATTGTTTGAATAATCAATAATTATTTCTGTCCCATTGTGCCCTTGCCTTCGGAGAAATCCACAGTGTGAATCACAGTGCCCACACTGTTCTCATTGTCTGTGTATAAAAAATTCTGCAGCCATTCACCACCATCCAGTACATTTTGGCATTTGAAAGAAGAATTACGTTGTTCAAAGAAAAAAATTACTGCTGTCGTGGAATTCGTTTCCTGCTGTGTTCGTATTACCGGAACCCGGTACCTCTGATTGAAATGAACAATTTTTTTTATGTAGCGGCCTGGAGATTATCGAAGCCATACCGCAGTGCGATGAGTAATTTCTTGCGAACTTTTGGAGTTCCCTGCATGGTGTCTTCTCTGACTACTCCAGCACGATTTAATGGTAGCAATTAGATAATGCCCACATGTACCGTACAAATGATGCTTCTAGGTTTAATTCTTGGCGTAAATTTATGTTTATCTACAGGTGTGAGGTTCTGTCTTTGCTGAGAAATTTGGAGTCGCCCTGAAATCTTCCACTTGATGAGGGATTCTGAAGGTCAGTATAAAAAGATACAGATGTCATTCAACTTAAAATGCATGGCACTCTTCAAGTTGATATTGATTGGTGACAAAGAATCTTAGAATCATTAACAGAAAGTCTGTACTCCTAGTTGAAATTTAAAAAGTGCCAAAATCAGAGCGTACGTACAGTACTCACGCTGTGCAGAATCTGAGCATTTCTTGCTTAAACATTTGGATATTTAGAAATTGTAAAGAAAATTTAAATTGTACAGCCTTTTTGCTTTGTAGCCCCCAAATCTAGATCACATAGTTACCTCCCCTCCCTCTCGATTTCCACCCACATTCTTCTCACAATCCCATATCATTTGTGGTTTTCATTTATAAGCAGTAATTAGTATCATCAGGGCAGGTTCACCACAGTTTGCCCTTTGTGACAGGCAACCACGCTGCAAGGATTCACCTGAAATAAAGAAAAAAGGAATGGCAAAAGGCAACAGTGGAGTACACTATATCCACCCACACAGACATCTACACATTATGACTGTACAGTAGTCTGGCCCCTCCTATCTCGAGTGCCTCATATTGCATCATCCCAGACAACAGGGGTCTTGTACCCCATGGATGCCGGAGGAAGTGGCTAGTTACACATTTACATGTACACGGACAGTCATTGTGCAAAGTGCTTCAATGAACGCTTCATTATTAAGAGGACAGAGTGGTTTCTTATTGTTGCAGCGGCTGTGTAGAAACCTGTGTCACCAACGACCCGTGGCTGTAGCTGTGTGTTCAGCTAGTATGAATGCAAATTGAAACCTTGGAATATTCGGTATGCATGTACTTTCTGACTGAGGGATCCTTTAAGATACTGTACCTTTTCTCGCACCTAGTGACTTGATAGTCATCACAAGGCAAGCAGTCGGTGGGATTTCCTTCTGACCTGAAGCCAAGCCACGTATCGGTACATGTGGAATCTTGCCAGGGATTCAATTCAGCAGCTCTGTGTGGGATTATGCTTCTCCTACAGCCATTTATAGTGAGGGTAGACACGCCAAGTAGGGATTGCATCCTGTTGGCTCTGGCGGCTGAGTCTAAATATATACGGTAGTGACCTGGAATTGCTGCCAAGGTTGATTGAAACTTGTGCTTAAAATACAGGTACGGTATTCGTTGAGTATTGAAATAACAGAGCGTGCAAGTCTCGCCAGTTCACATTCACTGCTCTGTGAACGTTTTTGTATCAAACACTACTAGTCAGAGACTCCCGTGTTGCTAATGCTAGAATTTACCCAACTGTTATCTGCGTATTACGGTGTACGTTACTGAAAAACTACAGTTGAGGTCGAAAATGTTCATTTTATTATTACATGTAAGTCATCAATTCACACAATATTGTTTTTTTTTAATGATTTCTTTCCTTTCACATAGTCCATCTACATTGTATATGTATTTATGTATTTTATTTTTTAGGTTAGCCGAGACACAAAATAAATGCAAACCATAGGACATCACACACGTTGTACATGTAGAATAATACATGATGCCTGGATGTACATGTACGTGTGCACAGTGTACTGTACAACTACTACGCTGTACAATGTATGTACATGTATTCCCGTAAAATACGACAGGTTTTTGCTGATAAATGTTCATGCTGATAAATCTGCTCATGTACCGGTACCAGTACATGTATACATGTACATGTGTACTTGAAGGTACAAATATCATGGAGCAAGGATGCAAATATATACTGTACTGGTACAGACCTGAGCAAATACACGCTCTTTGCTCCCCACTGTGCGGAGTGGTGACTCATAAGGGATCCTGACCTTGAAAAGAGTATTCCAAATATAATTTGTGAACTAATTTTTAAGCAGCATCTGGGGAGTGTGTTTTTTACTTGTTTTTCAAAAAAATGTATGGTAGGTTTATAGACTGGCGTGTGGTTTATGCATGCTGTACACAAAAATATGTGGAATGTGAGACCATGGTGAAACTCAGTACATTTTTGTGGTTGACCTGACAAGGGGATTGTTGTGTCTGCAGCCAAATGAAAGAATGCATTGTTCCTAACAACATGGTCTACCAAATACATGCAGGCATTTCCACACTAATGGGGTACAATTGACTGCAAATTGGGGATTTGAGAGGGGGACACTGGAGGGTACAGCAAAGCAAGATATTTTGTTCAGTTGTTTCCTGTGCATTTCTGAGATCTTAATGATCATGTGTACAAACAATATACAAAAAATGTAGAAAACCTTCTCTGTACTTTAGAAATTGCAGGGGTCATCGTAAAAATTAGGTACATTGTACATAACAAAAGACAGAATTTTTACTACAAATTGACGCGACACTAATTACCATGTACATGAATTCGGACCAAATGTCATCTCATTCATAATTACATGTACAGTATTAACCCATTGAGGAGTGCCAACAGCCACAATGAACACAATTGTGTTGGTCTTTAAAACACCTGTAACGTACCGGTACGTAACGTGGACAGAAACGTTATGACATTTTTTGGTCCATGTTACCGGTACATACGTAACATTCTGAATTATAATACCCTGTGACATATGAAATACAAGTATACAGTAGATTGTCTTGGTTTTTACAGGTAACAATGCTGTAGCCCCGAATAAGAATGAAAAATTATTTCTGTTCTCAAAACCTGGCATTCATCATCATCACCTTGCATCTACAGACATTTTTTTAATAATATAAAAGATTAATAGTTCCCAACCAATAGCTCATTCTGTTGTCAAGCAAACTCATCTCATATTTTTGCTCCAGTGTGCGTGCCATGTGTGACAGGGGCCAAACATCCTGAATAATCCCTTCAACAATTCAGCTTTCAACAATGCCATCAGATTGTTTATAATGAAGCTGGGAACTGTTGATTTGTGATGGGATATTGTTGGGCCTCCCCCCTCGTCTGGTGATGGCATTCTTCTGTGAAATTCAGGTGTAGGCTGTTAAAAAAATGACCCTTGAGATTGAATGGTTAACCTTTACCAATGTGTTGTTTATATAATGCTTGTTGTTTCCATTCTTGAGGGTTGAAACTTTCAACATGTTGAGGGAGGAATTCCTGTGAGGTAACTGTCAAAGCAGTCAGTTTTTCAACATCCAAATGTTGCTACTTAGAGAAAAAATGCTAAAGGAGTTTCTTGTACATGTACACATGTACATGTTATGTTTAGGTTGGATTCCCTTGGCTGTGTGAGTTTCATCCCCCAAAATAGATTCCTTTTCTAAATTTCTATTTTTCTAGCAATACAAAATTAATCACTTTTGAATGACACATTTGGTTGAAAAAGAATTATCCCACATTTAGTTGATGAATCATTACTTTACAAATTTGACGGTCCCCAATAATTCCATTCTCGCAGAATAGGCTGGTTCCTGCCCCACACTCACTATTGGTAATGTACCAGTACGGACTGGAAGCCAGTGTGCTCATCTGTTTATGCCAAAAATAAAAAACTTTTTGTTCAAAAGGTTGCAGATGCCCAAAATAAGTTTTTGTAAAATACATGTAGGAGGTTAGTTGGTTGGAATAAAACATGTACAGGGTGAAAATGTATTAAGAGAGAAAAAAAAATTGTTGATGAACATGGCCCCATGATGGGAATGCATCTTTAATGCAAACAGATCTTAATTTTGCACCTTTTGGGGGTTGGAAGATGAAGAAGAGTGGTGATGAAAATGTCATAGAAGATCCAAGCATTTGCAATGTACCGATACATGTGCCTGAGGGACTGCATCAGAAGAAATTCATTGTCCAAGCAATGCAATTTCACCAATTTCATAATCAATACCCCATGGCATCCTTTGGTGCGATTGGGGGGAGGGGGGGGGGTGGATCTATAGAGAGAGGTGATTGGGACATGGAAAGTCATTAACAGTGCAGTTATTATGGCTGTTTGGTGTCTTTGCCTGGGGTTGTGTTACAGTAGCTGTGTTAATCATCTGCTATTGGTTTGCCCTGGCGATAACGATCCTGGTGGTGAGGAACAACTCTGAATTTCTCATCGCGAAATTTAGTCGGTCTCGCTTCCTTGCTCTCAGATAACTGGGTGTGTGTACGTTTGTTTAAAGTGTTAAACGTTGTTTTGTAGTATTTTTCAAAGACAGTTTTGCTACCAATGAGTACCAGTATTTGTGTATTGTTTGGGTTATTTGTTGTTGTGTTTTTTTTTTTGGGGGGGGGGGTTCAAGTGTGAAGTTCATGTAGACAGTTAGTGATGATGTTGGGTGTACATGTATTTTTAGATTTTGAAGTGGACTCTGTAATTTTGAATATGGCTTGGGAGGGGGTTCTTAACACTAACAGCTAGGATATCAATTTTAAAGGTGAATGTGTACATTTAAATTGCAATCATGAAATATAAACGTGTGGATGGTACATGTGTACATCTGGCCATGTATACATGTGTACTGACCAACCTTGTGGTACTGTCACCCCGTGGAAGTTTGTCATTGTTTAGTAGGGTATAAATTAGGACCGAGTTGTGGGGACTTTCTGCTTTCCCCATATTAGCATCTTCGGTCCCCATAGTACCACGGGACAACTCGTGTGTAGTCTTGCTACAACTACATTTATTGTACCGGGTACGACCTAACAAGTAACAAGAATGTGTGTACACTTTGTGTACTGCCCATGGTTTTAAGATTAAGAGTCCCTGCCCCATCCCCCTCCCAAAAAAAGTAAAGTGTTTCCTGATTAATCCCTTTCCAAGCCTTTTGTTCCACCAAGGCTCAAGGGCAAAACAACAAGGCTTCTGGAGTGCCCTGAACAAAGGTCAAAAATTAACGGGGTTATTAAGTGGGACATGTGTAAATTTGATAATGGTGTCAGGATGGTGGGGTGTCTGGAAGTTTTTGCCACAGTGAATGTCATTGGATCACATGCACAGGACTTCTGATGACTGGTGTTGAATTTATGAGGCCCATGCAGGGTTGATTTCTTTTTGAGGCCAGAGTAATTTAAATTCTCTATGGCCAGAGGTGTTTTTGAGGGGAAATTGTGTTAGTGGAGGTCACATTTTCAGACAGCTGGTTAAAGCTATGGGTAAGGGCTGAATTTCGTGAGGACAGCTGAGAAATGAAGGGGATGTGATAGTTTGAATACAATTATAGCAATGTACATGTACCACTACCAGTATATCATTTTAAACCAAAGTTATAATGTACATGTACTCTACAGCTTTTGTAGATTGTTCTGTTATGAAAAAGCTTCCTCTCTTTTATTTTTCATCTATAGGGTAACTTCACATGCAGGCGTAGCAGTTTTCAAAAAGGACCTTTCACTTACATGTAGGCCGTATTGCTGAAGAACTCGAACTCAAGATATAGAATTCAGAGGTAGGTGGCTGCTGTATACATAATCAAGTTTGAGCTACATGTATACACGTACACGTATACATGTACACGTACAATGTACATGTACAATTGTATCATGTTCAGTGAAATCTGGTCCATTAAATGAATATAATGCCATTAAATTGGAACAGATTGAATCATGCAAGCACATTGACGTCAGCCTACACAGTGCAGTTTCAGACTTTGTCCAAAAGCAATGTATTTGCAAATGAGATTGTAATGAGAAATTTCACAAGGATACGAACAGGTATAAAGTTTTGTACAGTACGGTACATAATGTATACATAATATGTATTAAAAAAAAAATTTGTTAAATAAGCGTGGAAATTTATGCATTTTAACATCTTTTTAATGAAGTTGCATTGTCAATTGAAATTCTTGGTATTTATCTTAATGGTACATACATTGTACACTGTACATGTTTGTGTTTTTGTCCTGTGGATCACAATTGCACAATATGAGATGTACAAGCACATACCGGTACATGTATGTGTATTTACAAATTTATGCATGATTTTTTATACGGTAGCCACTTGAACAAGTTTCTCTTTCAAGAGGAACTCTCCAACGTGCATGTAGAGTGAAAAGTGCATCAAGGCGCCGCAGAGCAGGTGACGCAGGAGTTATTTTCAGCAGTTGGTTGTCTCGAAACTCTGAGAAGAAATCAGCTTTCCTGTCAAAGTTGATGAATCGGTCATTGGACTGTGAAATTACTTGCGGCAAGTCTGTAGAAAATGTGCATTTGTGTCCTGAACAAAATTTCAAGATTTGGATTCATTCCCAATAATAATTTTGAATCCACACATATGTACATGTACATTCTCTCTGTTGCTCGTACTGCAGGTCCCAGTAGAGGGCCGGCCTATAGTCCTCTTTGTACCTGACTGACTGACTGATCCTCTGACTTACCGGTTCTGACTGATGGACTCACTCATTGTCAATTGCTTAACACTTGCTTTTAAAGGGAATATACATCATTTGCTTTTGCTGTAATTTTCAGAAATGGATGGAATTGGGGGGGGGGGGGTTGGAAATATATAGCAAATATAGTTACACTGACTTTTTGAGGTTTAGGGTTCGAAAATGCTATAAAAACCAAGAAAAACAATCATTTTTCTGAAGTCTGGTTCCCTGACTCCATTTAAGAAGAAACAGAGCAGTTTACATATATTGAGGAATTGTAAGGTCAGGGAACCAATCTAGCTGGCTTGTACCCGTTCATAGGTGTGTAATCGATTGCAAACAAGTGCGATGGTCAACTGGGGCCAGTATTTGAAAAAAAAAGCCAGTTTTTTCCAACGCTGATCGGCTGATCAGCGTTGGAAATTATACAAAAATACCGCTTTTCTTGAAAATGACAGTATACCAGGTGCCATGATTTTACAGGATGCTTTACACTGTCATTCACTAACAGTCCAGCAAGGTATTTCAAAATGATTTGGTAGTTTTATTTTTTGATGTTTGCAAATGTTGTATTTTCCCTTTAAGTGTCACCTTGGCCCAACATTTTGAAATAGGCTTACTACTGTACGTACAATTGTAATGCCAATGGGTTAAATCCAGTCCATTTTGTAGGCCACATCCATGAAAAGACTTGTGTGCTCTGGGACCAGCTGTACTAGGCTTGCCTTGTCTTGTTGTGTTGTTGTTTGTTTTGATGTATGTTGTTTTCATATCCCCCCCCTCGCCATCTGAACATGGATTCTCTAAGGGGTAGGGGTGAATAACTGGGGTTGGCGGAGGCAGGGGATTTGGTGTACTCACGGAATGAAAACCTGAGTCATTGTTAAAGCCTCATGGGTGCCTCAAGTGATAAATAATAAGCACATGATCAGTCTTGGTGACCTAGATATGACAAGCGCAGTATAAAAAAATGTATGTTTTGTATACATGAATCTACAATGCATGGCTCGATCTCAGTCTGTGATAATTCTTCTCAAATTGGTTCTTTATGAAAATATGTACCGGTAATGGCAAATCCTGCCATGTTCCATGCACTTTGAAGCAACATCATTCACCAATGTTGTTTCATGTCTAAACAAAAACCTGACATAAATTACTATCTGGGAGGATGAAGCAATGTTTGCCTCCTGATGAAGACCCAAACATGTTTGTGTAGCTCAGAAAGAGGCAGATAGATTTATGTGTTTGTCACACAGTGAAAGCAAACACTGCATACTCATGTGAATGTGCTGGACTGCATTCACTGTTCTAGAGCTTCATATTATTTTCTGGAGGATGCACACTTCAAGATTCATCCGTTGAAAATCAGATAACTGCCGCACTGCTTCACCAAGCAGTTGTAGCTTTATGAGAAATTGAGACCAATTTAAAGAAACCTCTGCTATGTAGTTGTGTCACTACCTGTACCCATACGTGTGTATACCGTACCTTTAAAGAGGTTGTGGAATGCTCGAAGACATTTCCGTCATTTTTTGGGTATATGTAGCCTAAGGTGTGATGAAATAAAAACGACTATTGTTTCTGTCATGAAATGAGTACAAAGGGTACTTTTGAGAGCTATTTTTCAGGTCCTGTTTCGACCCGAACGTGCAATTTGTGTAAAAGTCGTCGTTGCGGGCAGCAAACAAAACACAGTAAATCGTGACGTAATAAACAGGACTCGTGTATGCTACTCTGCATTGGGAGTCCTGTTTATTACGTCACGATTTACTGTTTTTTTGTTTGCTGCCCGCAATGACGACTTTTACACAAAGTGCACGTTTGGGTCAAAACAGGCATGACAGGACTTGAAAAACAGCTCTCAAAAATACCTTTTGTACTCATTTTATGACAGAAACAATAGTCGTTTTTATTTCATCACACCTTAGGCTACATATACCCGAAAAATGACGGAAATGTCTTTGAGCATTCCACAACCTCTTTAAGAAACTGGTACTTGCGTACGTGTGGCATTGGTAAATGGTAAAGTAAAGGGTTGTTGACACTATCAACCAAGTTGTTTTCTTGTTTTTCTTTCATTGACTACTTGTCAAGGCACTGCCTTTGTGTGCACCACATAGCTGCATAATTTCCGAACACCATCGGCACGTTTTGGTTTCCTTATTTTTTTCAAGGGGACCCTCACTAGGGCACTGTCATTATACCATGTCCAGGGTGAAAGGGTGTCGTAAATAGCGCTACGTGCGTGTACACGTGCATGTAAATGAAGTGTCCCCCCCCCCCCCCCTCATTGGCTATGCATGACTTCATCAGTTAGCAGCACCTTACTTGAGTTTGTTGAAGGAGCAAATCTGTCGCTTGCCCAGCCTTTACATGCACTTCTGGATGCTTACCCACATACTTATCCTGCATTGTCAATCCCTGTCCTGCATCACACAATGGGACTCCATTGTGGGAGCAAATCTTTTGGAGTGTTTTTCTTAGGCCCGTCAAGGCTGCAACAAAGCCCTTGGTTAAATGCTCTGAAATACTGTGATGGGTGCATGCTACACAGTTGCTGAAACATTTCTTGGGGCCTGTGAACACTGAACTCTGCCACTAGCAACTACGGAACCAGGTTTTTGTACATTGTGTACTTGCTTGGCTTCGCGTTTCAGGTTGGTGCTGTAAATTTGGTACTTTTGAAAACCTAGACATTTCCCTGGATTACATTTTGAGTGTGCAGCATACATGTACCGGTACTTCCCAGCAATGGAGCGTGTCCCCTGTACCAGTGACGAAGGATTTTCATGGTATTGTGTACTATTGGAGGAACCATGGAGGTAGAACTCTGCCAAACTTTCAAGGTCACATTGTTGACTTCTAACTTATAAAGCACTCAATTTACTGGTATATTGAACTGCTGGTGCTCCATAGTAAAACTGGTTTCTATTCAGAAGCGTGAACTTCAAATACTCTGCTGCCTGATTGGAATTCATTTCCTGTTGCTGCCAATGTGGATTTATTCACTTGGATTTGTTTACGCTTGCTTGCGTCAGTTGAGAAGAAAAGCTGCCTCTATCTTCATCAGGAGTGAGTATTCCAGTGTACAGTACCGGTACATGCACTTATACAGAAGCTGTTCATTTATTTTTAAGTGTACAATGTACAAACTATACGATGTACATTGTACATGTACCTGGATACTGTATTGTATGATACCAGTTGCTGCTTTGCCACTACCGGTATGTGTGTATCATCATGCATTAGCTTTCCTTTAGGCTTCACTGTGCATTTTGTCGAAAATTTTATGTACAATGTACTGTATGTATGTAACATAAGCTAAATTAGTACAGCCTGGCGCATCCACTATCAGTATCATGGAGGAATCTTCCATGCATGGTACATCAAAGATGGAGCTTGGTTTTGAAAGGGGTTTTTGAATGAAGGGGGGGGGGGTGGAGGAAAGATTGGCAAGTTCTTATTTGAAGTGTTTATCAAGTGACTAAATTCAACATTTTAACCAGTAAATTAGAGCAAACATTCAATCACGTACCACCCCTCCCTTTCCACTTACCACCACTCAAATTAATAGCTGAGACAATGAAAACAGTGTAAAAATAAGGAATTGCAAAAATGAGTTCTGAGAGCAGACCCACAATTGATAGGCTATGCTTAAAAGACTCCCCAGGCACTCCAATCAGATTGACATAGCTACAGATGCACAAAAAAAAAATTAAAGGAGGGGTTGGCATTTTGGAAAGTTCAAGTACAATATTACACACCCCAAACAAAACGTCTACATGTTTGACAGTGTAACTGATTTTTTTTTCTTCAAATTTCCATTTCCCCCTCGGTGTTTATTTAGGGGGCAGCACCCAATGAGCTAACGCATTTTCCCATACAGTACCCTTTTCCTGGACTCTATTGTAGACATGTTGAATGATGTTGGATGAAAAAGCAAATTTGTCTTTGGTACAAGGCATGTACCTAACAAATGGGCTGAAGTTGTGCACAAAGCAGCTTATGGAATGTTTTGCTTCTTTTGGCACTTTTTTGTGTACAATCATATGGAGGCGTCTGCGTGTAGTCAAGGGTAC